TGCAGGAAGATTTAGTTTTACATCAAATGGATGTGAAAACAGCATACCTACATGCACCAATTGACTGTGAGGTCTATCTCGAACAACCTGAAGGTTATGAGAAAAAGTCAAAAACAGGAGAGAAGCTAGTATGCAAATTAGAGAAGTCCTTATATGGTCTCAAGCAGTCAGGTCGAAACTGGAATTCTCTGTTGCATGCATATCTCACTGAAAACGGTTTTGATCAAAATCCTGCTGATAACTGCCAATACACAAGGGAAAAAGAAAAGGAAAAAGTGATTGTGATTGTGTGGGTTGATGATCTGATAATTGCTGCTAACAATGAGGAGGTTGTGAAAAATGTCAAAGTGATGCTCACTGAGAAGTTTAAAATGAAAGACCTGGGGAAATTAAACAGTTTTCTAGGGATAGATTTTAAACAGTCAGAGGATCAAGTCACAATGTCACAACACAGGTATGTGAACAAAATCCTCTCCAGATTTGGGATGCAGGATTGTAAGGCCAGAGAGACCCCATGCGAGTCAAAACTCGAATACACAGAAAATGCTGTAAAAATGGAAGAACCAAGGACTTATCGAGAGGCAGTGGGAAGTTTGATCTATTTGGCTACATGCACTAGACCCGATTTAAGTTATGTGGTCAGTAAACTTTCCCAGCATTTTTCTGAGCCAAGTGAGGAGCATTGGAACACTGCAAAGCATGTGTTCAGGTATCTTAAAGGTACAACAGACCGTGGGTTATGCTTTAAAAAGGATGACGCAGGTGAACTTGGTCTAATAGTCCACAGTGATGCTGACTGGGCATCTGAGGTCACAGACAGACGTAGCACCACAGGGTACTGTGCCAGTTTAAGTGAGAAAAGTGCACTCATTTCATGGAAGAGTCGAAAGCAACCAACAGTTGCACTGTCTACCTGTGAGGCAGAATACATGGCCTTAGCGTCAGCCATACAGGAGTGTATGTATTTGCAACAGTTACTCAAGGGTATTGATAAGTGTCAGTATGCACAAACCAAGGTTTACGATGACAACCAAGGAGCTATTGCACTAGCTAGAAATCCAGTAAACCGACAAAGGTGCAAACATATTGATATCAAATATCATTTTATACGTGAAACTGTGAATAGTGGGAGAATATGTTTGGATTACTGTCCTACTGACAACATGATTGCTGACTTGATGACAAAACCAGCCACTAAGCTACAACTGAAGAAGTTTGCTCAATATTTGTTTGGCACTTAGAGTGTAAGAAAAGCATATAGTGTGCCAAAATGTGTTTTTTTTGTTTTATTTTCTATCAAAAAGAATGTACCACAATAAGCTAAGAGCGAGTGGGGGTGTTAAGTGTAGTACTGTTGTACGCCCTTACTTGTCGTGTCCATTAGAGGGCAGTGTTGACTTTACCTCTGTGTTATCTGACGCCTACACTACCTGTTCCGTGTGTGTAAGTTATTCCATGTGGTGATGCTGGGGAGAGCACAGTTACGTTACTCTCGCCTGTCGATAAAATAAATATGCCTGCAAGGCTAAAGGAAAAATGTGTCTGATGAGAGTTCGATTACATCTTCACCGCAACGCATTAAGTTCATCAGTCTCAATATTTGTATCCCTTTGTATGTCCCCATGTTTTGCCGCTGCTTCAACATTCTCTTTTCCGTCGTACCAATCCTTTTTCACTTTTGTATGTCTATGTGTCACTCTTGTATGTCTATGTATCACTTTTATGTATGTCTATGTATCACTTTTATGTATGTCTATGTATCACGTGAAATAAAAAAAATAAAAATAAAAATGAATGGTTGTGCTCAGTGGCGCTTTGTGACGGCATGGGGGCTGAAATATTAGCGGAAGTCGCCTGGAACTCGCAAAGATCTATGGGAAACTCGCCTGTATTTGGGCATCGTCTGGTCCTCCCGGTTCTGCGCAGTGGATGATCTCCCATAATGCGTTGCGCCAAACACGCGTGTGTGGGTCTCACACCGGGTCTCACGCACGTGCACAGAGGGGCTCGGCACTGACCAATCAGAGCAGTTCATCAGAGCGGGAGTTAGACATGGAGACAGACGAGCAGAGTTTGTGGCACTAAAGTGTGGATTTAAAGAAAACCGAAGGATTTAAGAAGAAAAAAAGTTCAGGATGACAAGGGATACTAAAATCCCCTCAAAATCCGACCTTTATGAAAGCTGTAGGTTTTCTGTCAGCTGAGGTTGAGCTGTTTTAATATGCATTGAGTTCTATGGGGAAAATTTCTGGGTAGCCCACGTGAATTTAGTCTGGTTCAGTCTGCAGTACCGCGAGAATCCCCTGAGCACATGGGTTATTCAGCTACAAGCTAGTAATACCCTATCCAGTTATTATAGTAGATCCATGCCAAATACAGGCAAGTTTCCCATAGATCTTTGCAAGTTTCAGGCAACTTCCGCTAATCTTTCAGCCCCCATGCCGTCACAAAGCGCCACTGAGCACAACCATTCATTTGAATAGGGCGCCATCTTGGATTGCCGGGGCTTGGTTTTACCGGGGTGAGGGTTTTCCCCCGCGAGTTGTCAAATCTGCAATTGTGAGTTGTGAGTTAAGTGTGAGCTGTGGCTAACAACAGCTTGTCTTGTACACAGCTTGTGAATAAAAGCATCTTGAAGAGCACTGTTCGGGCGTTTCTTACCTGGGAGTATTACACTACGTTCCAGCTGTCAATGCTAAGGGGAGTATTTTGTTTGGACCAGTCAGAGCAGAAGGTCTTTCGGTGAGGACAGTCAGATAGACAGTCTGTGTTAGCATTAGCATCTATACACAGTATATGTTAGCTTTGGAACCCACAACCTTCAGGCCTTAAAGGCCAATTCTCTACCAACTCAGCCACTGTCACCCCGGCCTTCAGAATGCACTCTTGTGTAGGTTAACGCATGCGCAAATGCGTTTTTTCACTAAAAGCGGGACAGGTATAAGTGGTGGCACATTAGTTTCAACGGAAGAGATAGGCGTGACTACGCTAATGCTAACATAGGACAGGTGGAAAATACTAATGCTAATATAAACTGTATACAGATGCCAAAGCTAACATAGACTGCACACTGATGCTAATGCTATAACGTAGACTGTATGATCCTAATACTAACACATAGACTATATATAGATGCTAACGCTAACACAGATTGTATACAGATGTCACACTCGTTCGATGCCCCTCCAACGTCCTTCATATTGAGGTAAACGTGACTGTTCCGTCGAACTGTTCTGCTCCCTCTCGCTGAGCATGTGGCACGAGCGTGTAGCAGAAGTTACCGGAGGGTCTGTGCTTGTGACCACCCGGCCCCTCATCACTACACACTTTTCCCTGAGGTGTTTTCACTCCTGGGGGGTTAAGAGAGTGAGTTGGAGTCTGTGAAAGTGAGCTAGAGTATCAGAGAGTGAGCTGGAGTTTCGAACTGTGTATTTTTGAGCTGGCAGTGAGTCCTATTTTTGTTCCAGTTTTTCCTGCGCTGTACATGTTTTTCTTCTGTTCACTGTTCTGGAAATATACAAAAGTCAGCGTCTTTCAGACTGAGCCATTATTTTGTAACAACATTTAATATGAACCCTTTTTCAGGACTAAAGCATATCTAAAATAGGTCTAGAGCGGGACTAAAGCAGGTCGACAGCTGACATTACACACAACAGAGTCAAGTTTTCCACTTTTATTTCATCTTAAAAAACATTGCTTTGCAAGAGAAATCAGAGAATGAGACCAGAGAGAGAGATCAAAGAGAGAGACCAGCGAGAGTGAACAGATGAAGAAGATGACATAGTCTGGGATCGCGTCTTTCATTCCGACAGAAGACATGTTTTATTGTCGATGGTAGAGACAGCACGAACAACAGATACAACAGAATGCAAGTGTATTATACAGAGCGGAGGCATGGAGACCTCCAATCAGCAGCTTCCACGGTGCCATGTAGCTTGGCCTTCAGATAGACAAAACAAGGGAAAAGTACAGGCTTCTGCACATTGATAGAATGATGAGTTTAACTTTAACAAAAGTTGCTTCAAAGTGTTATGAAATCTCACATTCCCCCCTCTGGTCACACATTCACGTGTGACCATCAGGATCGATAAACAGCAACATAACATCATAACTCAATACCTCAGAACTCGGAATACTTCAAAAACTCAGAAAACTCATAAAACATGTTCAGATCTTTCATAAAACTTGTCAACAATCTTCAGTAAAATACCAAACTTCATCAGTCGATGCTTCTCAGATATTGCTTTGAAAACAGTCTCTCCCACTTCTCCGTGTTGGTTTCTTCAGGCTGCATTTGTGCCGAGCCATGAATTCTTCTGTGACGTGTCTTTCAATCACACGTTTCAGCTTTAGTGTCCAGATTCAGAAATCCAATTCAGTCCAAATTATGTCCAAATTCAGAAATCCAATTGTTCAAAATGATGTCCAAATTATGTAATCCAATTTTTCCAAATCATGTCCATGCAAAAGAGGACGATGGTATTGTCCATGTCTCAGCAGCTCACAGCCTGACTGGAATCAGGGGCTGTGCAGATTGTCCAAGTGTGCTGATCCAGATGCATTCTCTTGAGGTTTCTCAGTTTTGGCTTAAAAAAAAAAAAACACTTTTTGTGTAAAAAAAAAAAGTCTTCTGTTCTGTAGATGTTACAGACAAGGCCTGCATCCTTCCACCACCTGAAGAAGATGACAAGGTCTGGGATCGCGTCTTTAATTCAGACAGAAGACATGTTTTATTGTCGATGGTAGAGACAGCACGAACAACAGATACAACAGAATGCAAGTGTATTATACAGAGCGGAGGCATGGAGACCTGGCTGCCACGGTGCCATGTAGCTTGGCCTTCAGATAGACAAAACAAGGGAAAAGTACTGGCTTCTGCACATTGATAGAATGATGAGTTTAACTTTAACAAAAGTTGCTTCAAAGTGTTATGAAATCTCACACAGAGACAGAGAGACCAGACACAGAGAGACTAGAGAGAGTACTGTCCTTGTGTGATGTTAAGTGTTGTGTTTGCGATGTGTGCGTCGGTGCATCTCCAGGTTGTGTTTGTGTGTGAAGCTGTGTCCGCACTGGGAGCAGCTGAAAGGTTTCTCGTCTGAGTGGATCTTCATGTGGCTCTTGAGAACATTGGCGCGACCGAAGCGGCGTCCGCAGAGGGCGCACTCATACGGACGTTCGCCGCTGTGCGTCTTCATGTGCACCTTCAGGTACGCCTCCACTGTGAAGCTCTTCCCACACAGCGCACACACAAACCGCCGGTCCGCGCGGTGAGTCTGCAGGTGGAAGTTATAGGCACTGCGGTGAGAGAAGCCTGCAACACAACCATCTATCAGACCAGAGACCAGAGAGAAACACCAGAGACCAGTGCATGTTGACCACAAGGAATCGTACCTTTGCTGCACAGCTGGCAGCTGTAGGGCCTCTCCCCGGTGTGTGTGCGTGTGTGCACCACAAGGTAGCCCTTTGTGTTGAAACTCTTTCCGCAGAAGGAGCAGCTAAAAGGTTTCTCCCCTGAGTGGACGCCGCGGTGCCTCTCCAGGTGGCTGCGGGACACAAAGGTCCTGGGACATTCCTCACACTGGTGTCTCTTCAGCGCACACGCCGGGCCCTGCTCTGAGCAGCTTAAAGGAGCCGCGCCCTCCTCTGAGCAACTGAAAGGAGCCGCGCCCTGCTCTGAGCAGCTGAAAGGAGCCGTCCAGGACACGGCTCCAGACACACACTGTGAACTGTCTGCCTGAGAGTCCAAATAAGAGCTGTATAGCTCACTCCCCCCTTGGACGTTCAGCAACTGATCTGAGGTCTGCTCCGTGAGGACAAGTCCACAGGAGCTCACCCTGTCATGTCCTAAACTGTTGTGAAGCTGTGCTTTTGCTTCTGCTGCTTCCACAGAAGTGCTGTATATGTATGAGTCCTCTTCCCTGGTCTCTACTCTGGTCTCTCCTTTAGTTTCTGGGTGGAGGTGTGATAAGAGAGGGGTGGTGTTATAGGTATAGTGTGTGTGTAGGTCAGGTCTGGTATAGAGGAGGTGTGTGTCTCTGCAGGGCGTCCTCAGGTCTTCCGTCTTCATACACACTTTGTGCTCCTCAGGCTCCTCTTTCACCTCTGTATCCCCCAGCAGCACAGGAAAATCTGCAGAAGACAGAGACAGGTCCATTACATCTGCAAAGGACAGAGACAGGTACAGGACATCTGCAGAGGACAGAGACATTTCCAGGACAGACATGTGGGAGCTTGAAACCGGTGTTACTCCTACAATAAAAGACACTAACGAGGAGCATAGAGTGCACAGTGGACGAGCACCCATGACGCGTTGCGCCAAATACGTGTGTGGCTCTCATGCATGTGCACCGAGGGGCTCGGCCGCGCTCTGACCAATCAGAGCTGCTGATCAGAGCAGCGCTAGAGCGGAGCCAGAGCGGGAAGGAAAGGAGCAGAGTTTGTGGCAGTAAAGTATGGATTTAAAGAAAAACGAAGGATTTAAGAAGAACAAAAGTTCAGGAGGACAAGGGACACTAAAATCCCCACAAAATCCGATCTTTATGAAAGTTGTAGGTTCTCTGTCAGCTGAGGTCGAGCTGTTTTAAGGGCTGTTTCCACGGGCCAGACTCTACTCGCCTCAACTCGACTCGGCACGACTCGACTCGGTTTGAGAGCGTTTCCATCAGCCCTGTGTATCTATGGCAACGTGTTACCTAAGGGGTAGTGATGCGCGGGTCTGCCCGAAAGCCGCGGTCAACTCGCAATTTCGGCGGGTTGGATGCCTCAAAAATATGAGTCATGTCGGGTGCGGGTGGGTCGGGTCATAAAGCTCCTGATCCCTATATATAATTATATATATATAATTATATAATTATATATATAATTAAGTTTAACAGGGAGGCTGTTAAACCAAAAAATCACAAACACCCGTAGGATCGCCACCGTCCTGACTCCTGCTTTAAAACCCTCAAAATGCTCCAGCCGTTGCTCCAGCCCGAAGAGAGACGTGTGATCCACACAGAGGCGCGTAGACTGATGACGCTGTGGGCATCCCAGGCCTTCTAAGCCGGCCGCGGCGCCAGGTATAGGCCTGGGTAGTTTTTACCAGTTTTTATCTTGGCCTACTCAAATTTGTTCCTCGCCTCTCAAGTCATTTGCCTTTTTTTTTAAAAGACATAATTTAAATATTGTTATTTCTATACACACATTATTGCTAAAATGTTGCGTTCTAATGTTTTTAGAAAATGTAACCACCTGAGCGTCATCAGGTTCGTTGCTTCAAATATAGTTATGGAGCTTTCGCGAAAGTTCACTGTGGTAGACCCGGCTGCTGCTGCCCAGGCCACAGGCTGCTCTTCCTCGACTCATCAATACCAGCAACGCCCACATCCAGTCAACCAATAACCACCAGGACAGCAAGTTAAAAGCCGGAGACTCCCACTTCCCGGCCTTCTGAAGTCTGCAAGTACATGTCTGCCCTCCTCGCAGCATCTTCCTGCTCGCCTTCTATGGCTTCTCTGCATAAGCGTTTCACTACTGCTCACTCAACCTTCAATGCGGTCCGAGACACGGCTTTTCCCGACCTATCCTACTGTCCTGATTATCTAATCTCCAACCCAAGATTCTAAGCGTAAGGGCGCCTGCAACATCAATGGGTCCGGTATGTCTCTCTGCCCCTACAGGTCTCCGCTTCTACACGGACGCTACCCCTTCCGTGGGTTTTGGGGGGTTCTTCCAGGACCAGTGGTTCGCCGGGCCGTGGCCCGCTACTTTTCCCCGGAGCATTTCCACTGCCCTACACGAGACATTCCCAGTGGTCGTGGCCTGCGCGCTGTGGAATCACACGTGGCAGAGAAAGAGGATCTCTGTCATGCGTGATAATCTCGACGTAGTGGAATTAAACAAAGGTCGCTCTTCTCACCCAACATAATGTTCCCTGACCATTTCAACCTTCATCTCAAACATTCAAAGATCAAAGGCGTCTGCAACACAATAATAGCTCTCTCCGACACATCTCTCTGCCCCTACAGGTCCATGATGCGTTACACTCGCCTCCGCCGCAAAAAGATTTTAACGGACCTCTAATTCCCGCTCCAGACAACCTTCCCATAACAGCAACCTGGTTCAGAGCTCAGCTAATCCCTACTGCTCGTCTGCAATTTGTCTCCCCAGCTCTATACAGCCCACTCCTTCAGGATAGGCGCTGCCACGCGCGCGGCCTCGCTGGGGCTCCCCCACTCTTCTCTGCAACAGCTGGGGCGCTGGTCCTCTTCGGCTTTCTCCACCTACATCAGGCCAGATGCGACCGCTATCATGGCAGCACAACGTCTACCGGCTTCCTCGTAAGCTCCCAGCAAAGCAAGTAAGCAATAAGATTCTGGTGGCGGCACGCACTTTCCTCAAACGCTCAAAGATTCCTCTGCTTCAGCGTTTGGCTGAATATGCGCGTGCGCGCATGTTCTCAGCTCGCTCAAAGATTCCTCTGCTTCAGCGTCTGGCTGAACAAGCGCGTGCGCGCATGTTCTCAGCTCGCTCAAAGATTCCTCTGCTTCAGCGTCTGGCGAATATGAGCGTGCATCTCATATTCCCAGCTCGCTCAAAGACTCCCCTGCGCTGCGTCTGGCTGAACATGCGCGTGCAGTACGTCCTGCTATCCCAATCGCAGGCCCGCTTTTTGGGGATTATGCACGCGAGCAAGCGCCGTGCTCAACAGCATCCCTCCCGGGCCTAGGGCGCCAAACATGCTCAATCAATAAACATGCTTAAATCTAATAAGTCTAACGGCATTTTCCTCATGGGTCTCTCCAAGGTGAAATGGAGCTTTCGCGAAAGTTCACTGTGGTAGACCCGGCTGCTGCTGCCCAGGCCACAGGCTGCTCTTCCTCGACTCATCAATACCAGCAACGCCCACATCCAGTCAACCAATAACCACCAGGACAGCAAGTTAAAAGCTGGAGACTCTCACTGCCCGGCCTTCTGAAGTCTGCAAGCCTCCGCCGCCCCACCTCCTCCTTCTCTCATCGAAGCGTGCTTGCCTACTGCCTCTGCCGTCACCAGTACCTAGGCCCCGGGGGGGATTATGCACGCGAGCAAGCGCCGTGCTCAACAGCATCCCTCCCGGGCCTAGGGCGCCAAACATGCTCAATCAATAAACATGCTTAAATCTAATAAGTCTAACGGCATTTTCCTCATGGGTCTCTCCAAGGTGAACTGTTTATTGGCTGAACAATTTTGTCCAATAAGCTGCATGATCATATCAAACATCGCGAAGCTCGTTCCCCGAGAACAACCAGCTATTCCTCCTCTTAAAGATTGACATTCACAACGGAGTAGCCTTTTTAATTTTAGTTTTAAGAAAGGTAGAGGAGCCAGAGGCCCGGGCCCGTAGGTTCCAGAGGAGGAGAGCGCGGTCAGGCCTGGCTCGCCTCGCACTGATGAGGTAAACACCAGGCCTGTGTGAGACACACTGTGGGCCTCACGTATGAAACTGCGTACGGCCAAATCAGGGTAAATGAGGCGTACGTATTTATCAATCTGGACGTGAGCGTACAATACGCAAAAAATATACGCCAGGTCTGGAGGTGGTGTAAATCTATACGCTGATGAGAGTCACCGCTGCATAATATATATGAATTCATTCATTCATTCAATCTATATTTATTCACGTCTACAATTCAAGAGAGATTTTTATAATGTATCAAAATATTTTTGCAAATTTGTTCAAAATGCAGCCCCAAAGACAGGGCGGAAAACAGGCGATTTCTGCATAATTCTAGGCGTGACTTTCATAAATACGTTTGTATTCAGCCGCGGCATTTATCAACACCCGCAGCTGCGTATGCTCAGATCTGTGCGGATCTCACACGTTCATAAATCCCACGTTGGATCTTGCGTATATGGAATATACACCCAAAATGTACACCTTTTTCTACGCAAGTTTCCTAAATGAGCCTGTGTGTGTGTGTGTGTATATGTGTGTGCTTGAGTGCGTGTGCTTGAGTGCGTGTGCTTGAGTGTGTGTGCTTGAGTGTGTGTGCGTGCGTTTAACCATATTCTTTGAAACCTGAATTCCAACTACCCCTTGTAGTTTGCGAGTGAATTTGGCCTATACCTACTAATCTGCAGGCCTACCCATAATTGAAAACCTGGCGCCGCATACTGTTCTAAGCAGATGCGTAATTACTTTATTATTTACAGTCTATTGTAATTACACAGGCTACAGATGTTACGCGTGCTTAGCCTATATTAATATTGTGTAACATTCAAAATAGATTGAGTGAATATTCCGTTTTCCTCATTGTGGTGGTTTGCGGAAAAGAGAGCAGAGAGAAGTTTGGCAGGGGAGGAGCCGTGTGGAGTTAAAACATAAATGGTTTACAACTAATTAATTGAAAGCATCTTCATTATGAATGTTATATTTATGTATTTATTATAAATGTTAGAGATGCCAGAGAAAAGGCGTCAGCTTTTTGCTGAGAGGGACACACCAGCGTTCCCCGACGTTGCTGGGGTTACAGTAGGGCTGGGCGATATGGCAAAAAAAAAAAAATCTCCGATTTTTTCACACCAAATCCGATTTTCGATTTTAATCGATTTATTTTTTTCTACTTAAAAACAAACTACAACTGACAAAGAAATAGATTTTCCTTTATGCAGTTCAATCTAAATCCCCATGGAGCATAAGTGTAACAGGAATTAAGCCTTAAAACATGCTTGTAAACGAGATGGCTCTGCCATTGTAAACAGTGAAAATGTAGCTTAACAGTTTTATAATAACTTCACTTACAATGACACTATGCACCTTCAAAATAACTTAAATCACACAAACAAGGCCCATCGCAAATATATCAATCCTATTAAACACATGCATTATTTACATGAAATATCACATTTTTAAAACTGATTACTCAAAATAGAAATGTTGTAACAGACAGTCTTTTCCAAAAGCCTCCTCGGGTTTTCATGCTTGTTCTTTCAACTGTGCCTGAGTAACTGTGCTGTAGTACAACGCTCGGTCCAGCTGGTGGCGCTAATACTAACTTCAGTGACTCCCGCATTGTGCGAGCTTCCTGTTTACATTCTGATGCTGTAGCTAACAGCTACTGTAGCTAACAGCTACTGTAGCTAACAGACAGCAGGGAACACGTTGTTTGTATCAGAGCAATGAGAGCAATGTGTGAGACGTGTCTTTCCCCAAAGTGCAGCGGCTCAGTGGGACACGAGTGTGTGCGCGCCACGGACACGGGAGTGCGCTTTGGAATAACGAGCGTGAGAGAGCGTGAAAGATGTGGCGTACGAACATGGCGTACGAACATAGCGACCGGGGCTTGCGTGCGTGTGTGTGTGTTCTGGCGATTTAAATAAAGTCTGATTCTTGAACGTTTGAAGTGTTATTGCAACAGCTCCAACTGTGAGAGCGAGCATCAGGCCAGAGGGAGACTGTTAGCATTAGGTTAGCTTCAAAATGACTGCTCAACACCATAGACCCGCGGTTAGCGCGTTAGCGCTGTAGTTCTGCGATGGAGAAAATAAAAATCGAATTTTTAAAAAAAGAAATTGCCCTAAATGTAAAACTCGAATTAATGATTAAAATCGATTAATCGCCCAGCCCTAGGTTACAGTATCTGCTCGGCCCGACTAGAGCCAGGTCTAAAGCCGTTACCAAAAAAGTAACGGGTCGCGGTGGAAACGTCCGCAAACCGGGGAGAGTCGAGTCGAGTAGAGTAGAGTCAGGCCCGTGGAAACGGCCTTTAAGTTTACATTGAGTTCTATGGGACCTTTTTCTGGGTAGCCCACATGGATTCAGTCTGCACTACCTGTGCCCATGGGTGGGACAGCTATAAGCTAGTAATACCCTATCCAGTTATTATTATAGATACATGGCCTAGCAACATCACGCAGTTTGAGGCAAACAAAATCTAAGTGTACAGCTTTTGCTGTTATAGTTATTTATCTGTCACAGATTGAGTCCTATGCCCTCAATCCAGAATCAGACCCTAATTATTAAATTAACCTGACATGTTACTTTACCAGTTACTTTCTGATTGGTAAAACGGTGGAGAGCGGGACATAGAAATGAAAACAAGAACAAGATTTAGGGGCAGTTAAACTAATTTTGAAATTGGAATATCCCTGAACCACTTTAATCAGTTAAAGAAGTATTAGAAAAGAGCAAGATTTATGAATGCCTTTTGAAATATTAGGGCCATTTAATGATATGACACGCAAATGTTACACATTGCTACTTTAAGGTTTGACACAGGGGTAAGAGATGAGGATAATTTATTATTATTTATTGTATTTTATTATCATAAATACAATAAATATGAAAAAGAATAATCATCCATGCATTGCCCCACTTACAGATATATAGGTTAAATTGAAATAATGTTGAATAGTAATAGTTAGAGAATGCTTGGTGCTGGAGAAGGACCGACCTTTCTCCTGCCCGCTCCCCGCTCCTGCGCGTCCCTCTCCCGGGTTCAGAGCGACTCTCTCCGCGGTGCTCTGTTCCTGTAGCCGGCCCAGCTGCTCCTCATACTCCGCTACAGTTCTTTCAAACAGCGCAAAGATGTCGTCCGCAGCCGCAGCGAGGCGAGCGGCCACCAGCGCCCGCAGACCGAGCCCCTGTGATGACATTACACCAGATATTTCTGTTTGGATCTGGAGCTAAGGGCTAACGGCTAAGATGAGATAGAACCTTGATTGAACGTTTCCCCCTAATAAAGCTCTCCCATATATAGTTACACAGCCTCTACACACACCGAAATAAGCCAGTTTTAACCCCAAATAGATGGTTAAATGATATCTTGTAAAAAAAAAAAATACAAAGTGGGTTTGGATAAAAATAAAGCTAATGGCTAACACTCAGCTAGCTGCAGTAACGTCACAAGCGCCTTCTACTGGACTTGGGGCTCATACACAAACATGACATGTGAAATATGTTTTATTCAGTGAGAAACTAAAGAATAAGGTGAGGTAAGGTAACTAAGAATAAACACAGCCGTGAATGTAAATGAGCTCTCTGCTCTACAGAGCTGCCTGCATCGAGACTATAATCCATTAGATCCCCTTTTATATATAAATAAAATTATTTTTAGTTAAACCATCTATCACACGTTGGCACATGTTTGTACTTTTGATGTCTCTCTCTGGTCTCACTCCCTCTGATATCTCACTTGTCTCTTTCTGCTTTCTCGCAAGTCTCTCTGGTCTCTCTCTGGTCTTCCCGTTATTATTATAGATCCATGGGTCTTCCCCTGGTCTCAAAACGTGTCCTTATTATGTCCCTCGTGTGATGTCGCGAGATCACAGAGCTAAACACTGTGTTCTCGCGAGAGCCTGAAGTCGCAAGCATTCCGCACTGGCGACGTACCCGGGGTGAACGCGCTCATTCTGCGGAAAACAGCGTCAAACCCCATGAAAAAACCAATAATAACTTGGACAGAGAGGCAAGGGACGCCACACGGTGTCATCCCGCCTCCTCCTGGTGTCCTCCTGGTCTTAGTATGGATGACGAGCGAATGATCCACGAGGTGCAGCTTCGCAGCGTCCTGTACGACGCTACGCACCCGTTCTACAAAGACAACAGCCGCAAGGAGCGTGCGTGGACAGAGGTGGCAGAGGCCATGCACGCGGACGGTCAGTGAGGGGACAGAGGACACACAGGAGAAATACAGAGGACACAAAGAGGAGACACATAGGGTACATACAGAAGACACATGGGGGACGCACAGAGAACACACGAGGAACGCTCAGAGGACACACAGGTTACACAAAGGGTACATTGACACACAGAGGACACACAGTCAACACAGTGGAACCCCGGGGACACACAAGGTTACACACACAGAGGACATACAGGAGACACACAAAGTACATGGGGGACGCACAGATGACACACAAGAGACACAAAGGTGACACACAGAGGAACCCCAGGGACACACACAAAGGACACAGAAGACACACAGTTGACACAATATAGTTGTGTGTTTGGTGTGTGTGAGTGTGAAGCGTCCCCTAAAGTTGAGTGTTTGCAGTGACTGTGTGTGTGTGTGTTTGTAGTAACCGACTGTGTGTGTGTTTGCAGTGACTGACTGAGTGTGTGCGTGTTTGCAGAGACTGACTGAATGTGTGTGTGTGTTTGCAGTGACTGAGTGTAAGGCACGATGGAGAACTCTCAGAGACTCATTTGTGAAGCACCGCAAGAGGATGGGCACGACCAACGAAAGCCCCTCCACCTGGAAGTACGGAGACATCATGGCCTTCCTCATGCCCTTTGTCGCTGTACGAAAGTGAGTCTCACACAGAGACACGCACACAAAGACACAGGGACGGACGCAGGGACACACAAGGCCGTGGGAAGTGGGGTGCGTCACTACATGTATTATAATATGATGTAGTGAATACAAATTAATGTTTTAAGTTTTAGCCATGAAGTTTGGAAATGGAATATTGTGCAGTTTGCCCCTTCAGACTTACAGTGGTTTGTGCAAAATAGAAATACAGAGCGAAAATGCCCAGGCAAAAAGGCATTTCAGACTTCTTTCTGCCACCTATAACAACACTAATGGTGCTTTCAGACCGGATCATGCGTTACGTCGGGTTTCAATGCAAAGTCTATGGGTGGCGCGCGTTCGACCGTCACAACGCACGGACCTCTTGGCACGCACAAATGGACTGTTCAATAATGACGCACGGACTTAACATTATGGTGCATTCAGACCGCCAACGCTGAAACGCGGAAGCCCCGCTCACCAGGCGCGCATTCTCTAGTTTTCAGACGCAGAGGACTTCACACCAAAACTCCTGACGCGAGCCGGAATTAGCCGGCCGGCTCCAATGCTAACAGAGCTATGCTAGCGGCTTCTTGTGTACAAATCTTCTCCAATATGCAGCTTTGCAGCGTGTCTTTGCTCACAGACAGTCCACGGGTTTTAAATAACAGTAGTATGTGTTCAGAGGTGCGCCATACGTTTTTTCATATTATTAAACGGAATTTCCGCATCGGCGAACACACTCGAAGCAGTTGCATAAGGTCACGGGAGCATGACAACGCATATTTTCACAAGCAGAGTCCCCCATTGTCAACCCTGGTTTGAGTTCTGGTGAAGCCTGGTGTGGGTCCTGTTTTGGCAGTTTACGAGTATTTTCAGTCTGCTCGCTCAGTCCGCTAATGTCCCCGTGACCACTTTGCTGCTCTATGATTGGTTGTCGCACGAACGTCCCAAGGAAAGGATGAGCAGAATCCATCTCCTGTGGGCGTTGATTTTTTGCTCCTGCTCTTCACTTTTCCGCCAAGTCCGTGCGTCATTATTGAACAGTCCGTTCGTGCGTGCCGAGAGGTCCGTGCGTTGTGACGGTCGAACACGCGCCATTATAGACTTTGCATTGAAACCCGACGCAGCGCATGATCCGGTCTGAAATCACCATTAGAGTCGGCCGGCTACTTCCGGTACTTCCGGCTCGCGTCAGGACGTTCTGGTGTGAAGTCCTCCGCGTCTGAAAACTAGAGAATGCGCGTCTGGTGAGCGGGGCTTCCGCGTTTCAGCGTTGGCGGTCTGAAAGAACCATAAGGCCCAATGAACTCCAGGCAGAAGGTGGAAATGGGAGAAGAATAGCAGCAGGAGAACCAGGAGCACAGGTCACTGAGCAAAGTGTGTCTTAGGAGGAGTCACCAGGAGGCGGCAGCAGACCCACCTCCTGCTGAAAGGCGGAGGTGAGGGGGGAACAACAAGAGGTCGAACCAAGTCAAGCAGTGGTAGGACCAGAACCAAGAGGAGCGGTGGTACCAGTGGATACAATGCGATTGAGATACTATTCTGTTTTTATGTGATAAGCCTACAAAATATCTACATTATACTGCTGTCATTAATCCTTAAACAAAGTATTTCATATAAAATGTTTACAAATCCATCCATTTTCTACCCTTTAATCCATTTCTGGGTCAGGGGGGTGGCAATCAGAGATGCCACCCAAGTCTCATAGCACCAGCCCCTCACTGACCCTCTGCAGGTGGTGAGTCCACAGGAGGACGGCTGCTCTCTGAGTGTGAGCATAGCCTTGATCTTTCAGTGGGGGCTTTGGGCAAAGTGGGGTTAAGTGTCTTGCCCATGGACACAACGACAGCAGTCATCAGTGGGAGTCGGTGGAGAAGGTGCAGAGGTGGGAATTGAACCCACGACCTTCTGGCCTTAAGGCCAATGCTGAACTGAGCTACTGTCGCCCCATGTTTACAAATGTTACTTTTATTATCAAACGTCTGCATTAAAACATTTTTTTAATGTATTATTTTAGCTCAGGTTGAACTTGCAAGGCTCTAGTCTTTGCCCTTGTTGCAGATTTTTACCTTTCGCACCCCCATCCAAAATATGTGCCCACAGCTATGGACACACACACACACAGAGACACGGGGAAAGATGGTCTCACATAGAGACACAGAAGCAGATGGACACACACGCACACACACATACATAGACACCGGGACAGAGACACACACATAGACACAGGGACAAACACACACACCGACACACAGACAGGGACAGAGACACACCCAGTGACACAGTAGAGGAGTAGTTTTCTTTCGATATACTAAATATAAACAAATGTTTAAATTTAAAACCTTGGACTTTGACACAAACCTGTGTCTGTGTTCCGTGCAGACGAAACTGCGCCTCTGAGACGGAAGGGGAAAGGACCCCACTGTCCACCTCCCCCCCTCCCCCCTCAGCCGCCCCCCCTGTAGCCCCACAGAAGAGACCCAGCAGGAGATCTCGGAGCCCCAGAGACAGAGGGCGCTCCTGGTGGGGCTTGGGGGGGGGCTCGCGGGGCCAGGTCCCACAGAGCGTTTGGGAGTCGTACCACTTCTGCCTCAGCCTGGTGCCTCAGCTACAGCGTCTTAGCTGGAGGAGGAGGAACTCTGCCAAGATCCACATCCTGCACCTCCTGGAGCGTCTGCAGGAGGAGGAAGAGCAGAGGAGGTCCACCAGAGGGGAGGAGCGGCCGCGCACAGAGACAGGTACGTAACCAGTGACCAGCAACCAGTTTGTAACCAGTGACCAGTCTATAACCAGTAACCAGTCTGTAACCAGTGACTGAACCAAACGACTCGGGCGTAGTGTCTTTGACACAAGACACTGCTCTGATTCTAGGGCTACTGTAGAAGTGACTTTGGAGCTCCTGTAGAGAAGAGACTATAGAGCTCCTGTAGAGAAGAGACTATAGAGCTACTGTAGAGAAGTGACTATAGAGCTCCTGTAGAGAAGAGACTATAGAGCTACTGTAGAGAAGTGACTATAGATCTACTGTAGAGAAGTGACTATAGAGCTACTGTAGAGAAGTGACTATAGATCTACTGTAGAGAAGTGACTATAGAGCTACTGTAGAGAAGAGACTATAGAGCTACTGTAGAGAAGTGACTATAGATCTACTGTAGAGAAGTGACTATAGAGCTACTGTAGAGAAGTGACTATAGATCTACTGTAGAGAAGTGACTATAGAGCTACTGTAGAGAAGTGACTATAGAGCTACTGTAGAGAAGTGACTATAGATCTACTGTAGAGAAGTGACTATAGAGCTACTGTAGAGACGTGACTATAGAGCTACTGTAGAGAAGGGACTATAGAGCTCCTGTAGAGAACTGACTATAGAGCTCCTGTAGAGAAGTGACTATAGAGCTGCTGTAGAGAAATGACTCTAGAGCTACTTTAGAGAAGTGACTCTAGAACTACTGTAGAGAAACAACTCTAGAGCTGCTGCTGAGAAGTGACTGTGGCGTTGACCTCAAATTGGTGAAATGAATGTCTGTGTATAAACTTCGGTTACTACTGTTGTTGAGCTACAGCGAACCTTTTCAAAATGTGTGACTCTGACCTCTGCTTTTCTCTTGTTCCAACACGATTCCTCGTTACATTTGTTTATCGGGGACCCCAAGGGTCTCTGGAGCAGCTCTCTTGGGGTAGCTCTGCAGTAGCTCTCTCTAGGGTAACCCTGGAGTAGCTCTCTGGGGTAGCTCTCCTCCATGTGCCCAGGCCAGGGTGTGCTGGAGCAGCTGCTGGTGGAGGACAGTAGCTTCTCGTCTCTGATTGGTCTGAGCCGCTGTCAGTTTGAGGAAGTTCTGAGGCTGGTGGGAGAGAAGCTCACTCTGCAGGACACCAACTACAGGAAGTCTATCCCAGCGGCCACCAGGCTCTGCATCGGGCTGAGGTGAGGGGTCAGGGGTCACCGGGCTCTGCTTTTTGCTGAGGTGAGGGGTCAGGGGTTACCAGGCTCTACTTTTTGCTGAGGTGAGGGGTCAGGGGTCACCAGGCTCAGCATCAAGCTGAGGTGAGAGGTCAGGGGTCACCAGGCGCTGCTTTGGGCTGAGGTCAGGGGTCACCAGGCTCTGCATCAAGCTTAGGTGAGTGTTCAGGGGTCACCAGGCTCTGCTTTGTGCTGAGGTGAGGGGTCGGGGGTAGAATCAAGCTTAGGTGAGGGGTCAGGGGTCACCAGGCTCTGCTTTGTGCTGAGGTGAGGGGTCAGGGGTCACCAGGCTCTGCATTGGGCTGATGTTTGAGGTCAGAGGTCATTCCCAGGTCACAAACAGGTCAGGAGCCTCTGACACTTTAGTCCCACCCACTTCATTCTATAGGAGATTAAAGGGCCTATATCACGGTTTTTGACTTTTCTCTGCTTTACATGATTACAGTGCTATTTGGCCTTCATACACATGCCCACAGTAGTTTATTCATTGATTCTGTGAATCTTTTGTAAGAGAACAATCTGTCTCCTTCCCCAGCGTGAGGCACAGAAACGCTCGGGTCCACTTCAGTGACCAAAACCACACTGATGACGCGCATGACCCCGTTTGCTTTGTATTTAAAATAGTTAGTCAAAACGGGGTAAACAATACACAATTAGTATGCTGTTTTTTGTCAAAAATAATAAAAAATAAATTAAAAGCCGGCGGGAGGTGATTGACGGATCAAAACAGCGAATCAGAGCGCACAGGCTCCGGCTCCCGAGTCCAGCGTCTGTGGTCTGGTCTCGCGGACACCACATAGAGCTGCTGTTTTTATGCTTTTGTCAGCAACTAAAAGTGTTAGGATCACGTCAACTTGAATGAAGTGTGTTATGGGTGTAAATATGTGACACACTATTTGGCCCTAAGAGGAAGAAAGCGGCTCGACTTTTTTCATCTGTTCATCTCATGGATCTATTATAATACCGGTTCATCTGCGACACTTCACTGAGACTGTTCCAGAACTACAGGGACAATGGAACTGGACTTACTCAAAGGCTGATGTGGAAACACGTTATTCCCACGGTAAAAGACGTAACTCGGACCCCTCGATCTGTAAGTAGTGACGCTAACTCGCTGTATACTTCTGTAAACTAAATAACTAGGGTCTGATTGTGCATCGAGGACATAGGGCTCGATGTGACGGATTGTCATTGTTGGAAAAAGTTTATTCTTATGTATGAAATTACTAAGTACAGGTGATAAACGACAAAAGTGTGATGCTACGTCAGCGTGCGGGCGGGGGGAGGCGGGCTCACAGGCAGAGGAGCAGACTCTTCTCTGGATCAGCTCGTTTGAGTCGAGGTGACGTCACCTCTATACAAGAGATGGCTCTAATCTCACAAGCTTTGATTGTTGTGTGGTGTATCATACACATTAATATCACACATGTGCATAGGATTGAGTGTGAAACATGAAGAAAAGCGTGATATAGGACCTTTAAAGCACACAACTTTTGACCTCAGATTTCCTGCAGACACAGCATTCCGTCATCTATAGCTGGAGCTCGTCTGTGGGTGTGTGTGGATCTGTGTGTAGTGTTATGTATCTGTGTCTAACGGTGGCCCCCTCTGCAGGTTCCTGCGGTCCGGACAGCACTTTCATGCGGTGGCAGAGACGTTCCGTGTGGCGCTCTCGTCTGTATGTAAGATCGTGCCTCAGGTGGTAGCCGTGCTGTGTAGCGACCTGCAGGGGGAGCTGTGTCCTCCCAGCTCTCAGCTCTGGACGACCACAGAAGAAGAGTTCAGGCGCCGCTGGGACTTCCCCCTGTGCTGCGGAGCCCTGGACGGACGCCAGGTTAGTGGTCAAACACACACAGAGACTAGGGTTTAATATTTATCCCAAAAATGAGATTTAGCAAATCCCTGGAAAAGAAGACGTATTTCCGGGATTCCCGTTTGTTTTTAGCCCAAGTAGATTAAGATTAAGAGATCCTTTATTTGTCCCACAGTGGGGAAATTTCAGTGTTGCATCACAAGTTATAGAACAGTGGGAAAGAGGAGCACACGTTAAGTGAACAATAGCTATACTAATTAAAATATAACAAAATCTCTAACTCTACCATCTATAATAAGTATAGAATCTCTATTTTGAAAATAATAGATGTAAAAATTTAACATTTGGTAAAATAAGAGGCAAGTAATGTAGGATATCACTCAAATATGTTTACTATTAAACGTAAATCCATCAAAAGCTGCCATCTCCGCTAATGTTTCACCAAGCGACTTGCTAGCTTTGCTAAAGTAGCCACCTAGCGTTTTCAGATGTTTTGTGGATAGGCTTTCTTCAGGAATTTCACTATGCTGAGTAGAGGTGCAACGGTTCATCACTGATCCGTGATCCGTTCGGTTCAACGTCTTCGGTTCGGTACAGACGTGATCCGCGGTTTGATTTATGAAAAAAAAGTTGTGCGCACGTTGTTCAGTCCACACACAGCGCGGTCATTGCGAGCGGAGGAACGGAGGAGTTTGAAAGCCCTGCGTCATTTAAATCCCCAGTATGAGAGCATTTTGGCTTCACTGTAACTATACTGATGATTCATATTCGACAAAACTGTCACAGTGTGTAAGCACTGTGGCACAAGAAAGACATGAGTGAAAAAAGCGTCTCAACGACCGCTTATTGTCGCGGCATTTAAGCAGCTCCTTTACGCACAGTCAGACCGGGCTAAAGTCAACTCTCCCGCGCATCCTCAGCTGCGCTCACGACTGACGCTTGGACGTCCCGCGGAACCTATAATAGATCCATGAGCGGAACCGCTCACTTCATCACCGCAGACTGGGAGATGAAAAGTCTGGCGCTGCAGACACGCCCCCTCTACGACAGTCACACTGTCACACAGCGCAGGTACTGACACAAGCAGCGGAGGAATGGAAGACAAAGGCCCAGTACTAATATCCCAGTCACAACTGCCAAAGATTTAATAAATGCAGTGAATGAGGCTGGGCCCAGAATGGACCCCCTCCTTGGGAGAATCAGGAAGGTGGTGTAATATATGAGGGTAAATATCCTCATATGAAATATCCTTCTTATGTTGCACTTTGTGTTGTTTTTCATTAATTATGTTAAATAGACATAATTGGATGGATGGAATATGCCTTCCATCCATCCATCCATCCATTTCCTTCCCCTTAATTCATTTCTAGGTCAGGGGGGTGGCAGTCAGAGCAGGTGCCGAGTCCACATGAGCTGTGTTTATTCAAAAAGAAAAATGAACCAAAAAATGAACCGAACCGTGGCCTCTGAACCGAGGTACGAACCGAACCGTGATTTTTTCAAACCGTTGCACCCCTAATGCTGAGATTCTAAATGTCTGCGCAATCCACTTGTCCACCAGTGACATGCGGTGAGGTTTGGAGGCACTGACTTCAGCCCAATCAGATGAACATATATCATATAAATCAACAGAACCTACAGAACGGATTATTCAGTTAGTTTGGCTACAGCAGAATATGTTCCATGGCCCACATTGTTTGCTCAAACAAAACGCAAAAGTTCGTAAAAAGCACATTTCAAAGTGTGTTACGGTCCTTACCTTAGTTATTAATGAACAGCACAGACCACTTCAGTTCAGACCAGTTTCATGTTTAAGTCCAGATAATAGTTTGAGCGTAGATATGTAATCCTCCATTTGGAAATAAGCCCAATGAGTAAAAGTAAAACAAAACACGTGTCTCCTCCATAAACTCCTGTGTTTCGCTAGCTGCAGCCGACTCTCGGATGCATCCAATTTCTAATATCAACCTTCTTACCTTTCACCTCTTTTCCTTATCATTCCTATCGTCATTGGAAGCATAACATTACCCTAAATGCATTTTAAATTATCTTAAAATGTGTTATATGTATGTAAGCCAAACCTGTTGCTGCCCTTTGCAGATGAGGCTGGCCTCACTTGGTGACATTACAAGCCGTGGTTGAGCATGATTAAAACCCATATTTGTTGTCAAAAACACAATTTATGAGCCATCCTCTCAGCTGTAGACATGTAGATTGTAAAGAAAATATGTTTGAACTTTGTACAACAATAGACGCGCACTAAATTAGGAGCTGGACTCCCCCGAGTCTCCTCCCAGAGCGCAACTAAACTCGCTAAATTAAAGCTGGGGCACCTAATATTTCCTTTGCAGTAGCTGTTCATGTTGGTTGTGCCACAAAAGTAAAATGTGAGCAAATCAAACAGCTTAAATGACATTATGCATTTCAGACTTTTTTGAAATATCCCGTTCTAATCTCTGTAACAAACAACACTTTTGTGTCCATCTCCTTCAGTCTGTGTCGTGACATGTTTTTTACCCTCTTGTAATGTAGACTATTGCACTTTATCTCAATTGTGGAAACTAAATCGATCCTACAGTATGTGCTCCCGTTTACCATATAAATAACCTTGAAAACATGTTTTAGTCCCAGTCCAGGCCTGGACCGATTAGCATAGTTGAAGATAAGGGTCTCGCTCAGACATTGAGAGTAGCGTCCCTCAACCCATCCTACAAGCACCAGCAGGAGGCACAATAATGAATAGGATCCACAGCCTTTATGAGACAGAGAAAAAGAAGAAAGTTTAAAAATACTGTCTACTACAGAAAGACAGAATGTTAATAATGTTAATGCCATTTGATGTGTATTTATTGTTGTTATAATACTGTCACTTATCTTTCCATACAACCATGTACAGAAAAATATAGCATAATTTTGCAGATGGTGTGAAATTCAATTAATTACAATCAATTCATTTTTAAGCTGGAATTAACTCGATTCACATTTTTAATCATTTGATGGCCCTAATATATATTATAATTATATTATATAATATATATTATGGAAATCATCTCGCGACCCGACCCCGCGTGACGCCCCAATTTCATTAAATTTACACTCAACATTTTTATCACACGCAATCTGACACCTCCCTCCTCTCTCTCCCCCTCATCTCTCCTTTCTCTGATCCCTCCCTCATCTCTCTCTCTCACCTCTCTCTCTCATACTTTCCCCAGGTGCTCCTCCGCTCTCCCCCCTGCTCTGGCTCTCAGAGTTCTTCTGTGGTGATCCTGGCGGTGGTAGATGCTCGTGGTCGGTTCCTGCAGGTGGAGGTGGGGGGTCTGGGTCGTGTGAGTGACGAGGGCCTCCTGGAAAGCTCGATGCTGGGGCAGGCTCTGTGTGAGAACAGACTGCTGCTGCCGCCGCCTGCCACGCTGCCGGGGGGCGCCCACCGGGGGCTGCAGCCACATGTGTTTGTGGCGGACGACAGCTTTACGCTGCGCTCCAACATCATGAGACCGTTCACAGGACAGGCGAAGCGTCAGGGGCCCAGGAGGCGGGTCTTCAATCTGAGGCTAACCCGAGCCCTGTGCCCCGCTAACACCGCCTTCAACCGCCTCGCCAAACACTGGGGTCTGTTCCAGCGCACTCTGGACGTCAGGCCCGAGAGCGCACAGATGTGTGTGCGCGCTACCTGCCTGCTACACAACCTGCTTCTGAGGGGGGAGGGGGAGGAGGAAGATGAGGGGCTTCCGGGAGTGGACTCCATGAAGTGGGCGGAGCCAATGGGAGAGGAGGAGTTGACAAAGTTGGCTGCAGACACTAAGGAGGATCATGTGGGCGGGGCTTCAGCCTCTGTGGGCGTGTCCTCAGACAGGTGCTCCAGTCTGAGCGCGGGTTGCCTGCGGCGCCTGGAGCGCGGCTGGGCGCACAGAGCGTCCAAGGAGGCGCTGCGTGTGCGTGATACGTTAGCGGCGCACTTTTGTGAGGAGGGGTCGGTGTCATGGCAACAGGAAAACTAGGACATTAAGACAAAAGAATCAGTTTGTAAACTTTTGGTGAAGATTTAAAAAATATTCAGACAATTTCTTGTGTTTTCTGCTTTTCTCTTTATTTATTGATCTGCTAACAACAGGTGGTGCTAAAGAAAAAGTTGTTGGAACACAGAGAAAACAAGGTCCAGTGCAACAGACTTTAATACTGAGAGTGTGAGAGGGACCAGAGAGAGGGACTAGAGAGAGGGACCAGAGAGAGGGACCAGAGAGAGGGACCAGAGAGAGGGACCAGAGAGAGGGACCAGAGAGGTAACATGTTGGTGGATATACTTGTGGCGCATGAGGAGCCAGGGATCAATGTAATTCTTGATTTCTGTGAAATGTTGATAAAAAAAAGTCAGCTCAGCATCAGGAGACAGGTTGAACATGTGTCTCTCTGTGATGTCCTGTAGCTGTGCCTCCGGAGCGAATCCTGCTAAAGAGGGAGGCCGAGGAGGAGCACCCCCTGGAGGAGGAGCACCCCCTGGAGGAGGAGCAGAGGGTGAAGCAGGAGGAGAGCCCCCTGGAGGAGGAGCAGAGGGTGAAGCAGGAAGAGCGCTCCTTGAAAGAGGTGCAGAAGGTGAAGCAGGAGGAGTGCCCCCTGGAGGAGGCGCATAGGGTGAAGCAAGAGGAGCGCCCCCTGGAGGTCACTGTGTCTGTGCTGGGACCTCACATCAGTGTGGAAACCAAGGGGGCCGCCCCAAGATCTGAGGACATGGACCACGACGAAGACTGGCCAGACCTGGACCTGGACCTAGACCTGGACCAATAGCCAGACCAAGACCCGGAATAAGAGCCAGACCCAGAGGAGCACTGAGGACATCTCAGTAAGGCCTGGCCATTTCTTCTGGTCTCTCTTTGGTCTCTTTCTGGTCTCTCTCTCTCTGGTCTCTCTCTCTCTCTGGTCTCTCTCTCTAATGAAATAACCAGTTCATTTTCATTCAATTATTTATTGATAAAAAAAATGCACATATTTCAGACTTCCTTCAAACAGGACTGGCCATGCCCCCTGCCCCTGTCGCCTTGACGACGCAAGTGAGCGCTCGGGTGAGGGAGGGACTCTTGATTGAGTGGGAGGAGCCTGCAGAGCCTCGACCAATCAGAGCCCGGCACAGTCACCGTTTCACAGAGACAAAACATCAATTCCAGAAAAGCCGTCCGATTCGATCTGAACAAACATACAAACAAAGCTGGGGTCTGTAACTTTGAAGCTTGGGTCTGTCACTTTCACGTTTACTTGGCAATTTATTTTCTCCCATCTTTTCTCATTAACTTTGTGAACAGTTCTGCGTTGCTAGTACTTGAAATACACTGGTGCGCCCTGCTCACAGTTCTGTGTGTGTTTTTGGCAGATATAACATATAAAAGGCCGCCGTAAAGTTTACTTGAAAAGGAGTCATTTGGCGTCACATACACTACCTGCTTGTCACACAGTTCATGTTTGAGTTGGGCAATAGATCCATGGACAGCAGCATTCAGGGTCTTTCCCAAGGACCCACACTGGATGTTGGTGTTATTGTGCTCCTGGTCAGATTGGAACGCTTTCCCGCGGACTGTAAACATTTGGGCCACTTTGCCGCAGTATTTTTAGGGAAATATAAAATAGTATAAAGGACGGCAACTGTAATTTGTTTACACACAATACAATACAATACAATTTATTCTTGTATAGCCCTAGGTCACAACAGAAGTCATCTCAGAGGACTTAACAAAACCATTGAAATCACCATCATCATTTAGTCTGTGTAACCTGAAATAACACACTGTGGTTGACTGTAGTGATCTGGTAAGAAGATACTGCTTATCAGAGGCTCAGAGTAATTGCAAAACTGCACCTTTAGTATGATCCCAGTGAATCAAATTTGCCAGAATCCAGTTTATTGTGATCGGACCTTGAGGGAGAGCAGCAGGTAAGATACTAACAACACTAACATGTATCAATGGTACCAATATCAGAAAACTGTACTGTTGGTCCAAGCATGAGTTGTGTGAGTGGTGGAATTATAATTATTTCTTATATTTGCTTTGAGGGCGATGTTTGAAGCTAGGGTCTTGTAATAAGATAATTTTTACTTTATCATAAGAAAAAGTTATTTATCAGAAATCATATTATATTTTGCATACTAAGAAGGAGCCATGTGAATCACTTTTTGTCGGTTGTTAGGAGTTAAGGGGGGACTGTTGCTGTCTGTCCTCATTGTTTTATTGTACTGTTATAATTGATAATAAATAAGTCATATGCATATATTTATTCTAATGAAGTGAAATTTTCTTCTTATTGAAATTCTATCGACATATGTATGCCCCCACCCCAAGGTGCTAAGCACCCCTGAAGCTGAATGTCTCAAATCACCCCTGATCTTATTCTGCATTACCTTAAGTTATGCAGAATAAAAGTAGTTGTGTAAGATGACAAGGTGTATGTGTACCTCTGTCAGTCTTTCTTCTCCATGTTCTTCAGTTTCTCTGTGATCTTTCTCTCATGGCCTCCAGGGTTTGGACGGTTTGTGTTTTCACTCGCCTCCTTTTTAGAACGACCTTTACGAGCTGCTCCCTCTGCAGACGCACAATACACACGCACAACTCAGCTCAGCTACAGTAGATCAAACACAAACTGTAAAATTAGACAAATTGAGCCTGAACTCAAGGCCTATCTCTTGACCTGTGACCTCTGACCTGTGTACTTGTCCGATAGGTTGTAGAACTCGTACTCGTCGAAGTGTTCCTCCTCGAAGGACGTGGGTTTGATGTTCTTCACATCTACGTGACTCATGGTTCTGGATCCGAATCTGCACAGAAGACCATTGAGACCAGCTCACTTTTTTACACAATAGATAATGTTTTCTAATTAAATGAAGGCAGAATGTTGTTCATAAGGCTAAAGTTACGGACCTCAGCTTTAATCTCGGTTCAAAAGTGAGCGATGGTGCCTGAAGAGTTAAACATGAATCAGGCTCAGAGGCCGCAGTTCTAACAAACTCCTCCTTCAGCCGCGTGGCAGCAACATATCAGAGCTCAGAGACATAACTGTAGTCTCATAAAATACACACAACTAAAGCTGGAGTCTGCCTTTATCCTCATAAATAACACATTTAAAGCTGGGGTCTGTAACTTCAATCTCATAGAAAAACATGTTTAAAGCTGGGGTCTGTACACTTTAGTCTCATAAATAACATGTTTAAAACTGGGTTCTGTAACTTCAGTAACGTGTAAATGATAATATATTGACAACGTCTGTGATGCAATTCCATAAAAATCTGTTAATATTTGACTGTTCAAAGGTCAGTAATGTTACATTGTATTTTACATGAAACAGTGTCTTGTTTTTATCCTCTGCACCACGACATCAGCAGGAGATTATACAAATGTTATATAATATATTGATTTTATGTATAAAATATAAATAAAATCACTATTTAGTTTGTGTTTGAATATTTGGGAAAGTAGTGCATAATAGTGTAATACTTTACAGAGACAGTCATATTGCAGAAACAGATTTCATGTATTATGGTTTTAAAGTCACTACAACCCTCTAGAAGAGCTTACCTGGTCTTCTCTGGTGCAGTCTGCGTCTGATGTTTGAGGAGTGACGCAGCCGTGCTCTTATAGTCCCTTCAGATCCTCCACAACACAGATTGCATCAGCTGCAGTTTTGTTTTGGTGGGCTGGTCTCACTATGGTATCTCTCTGCTCTCTCTCTGGTCTGGACCTGGTCTGGACCAGGACTTATCGTGGTGTGAACGTAAACCAGGTCAAACTGATGTGTTGAGTGTAAAGTCCACAGATTTTGAGCAGGTGTGTGTCTCTCATACACACACACACACAAACACACAAATCGAACCCAACTCGTGAATTTCATGATAAATATAAATGATACGGACAATATAATCTCTCTGACGTCACTGTGAATCTTTCCTCTTATCTCCGCGATAACGTTTGGGACACGTACAAATGCCCATTACATTTACAGCTGACTGAGGTCTGAGATCAAGCACCCTTTTTATTTATTTATTTTTGTTTAATTTGCATTTTTGGCTTTGTTTTTAGTTTACATATCATGTAAGGTACCGTTTTTGTTTGTGTTAAACCTTTCCTGTTTCTCGTCCCCTAACCGTGGTTGGGAGACACAGGGGAGATCCGTCGTCTCCAGGGCCGGTGAACGAGTTCTACTTACTCATCGATCAAAATGCTCGAAAGTAGGCGTGGCTTAGACATTTTTCACAATAAAAGCCCACTGCCTCTGCGGGACCTCTAAAGTCCGAAATAAAGACTTCTTTCTCGTAGTGTTTCTGACGAAGGATTGCTATCACATATAATCAACGTAAATCAGATGTGTTGTTGCTGTTTTATATACTGTCTGTGAATCGCGAACTGTTTCCCATGACACTGACCTGAACAGCTGCAAGGTGCGCAGTTTAACCTGGAGCTGCGGTGGGACTGTGGTGTTTCCATTCAATAAACACGTTCACAACAGCGATTTACACAAACACATGACCAGCGCCTGCTCTCACACATTGTTCTCATATACTACAGTCATAAGAAATATTGATGTAGAAAAAGAAATCACATGTGGAATTAATGCTGTATGTGATCGCTATCACAGACCAGGAAAAGGACGTTCGGGTTGTATGAGTGAGCAATAATGTGACTAATAATGAGCATGCAACTGTGACAGGACGAACATGTGTGTGTGTGTAAAGCATGACAGCAGCAAGAGGGTGTCACTGAAAGATGACAGCAGACGGCCAAACACATGTTTTATTTGTAGAGTGGGCTAGATCCACCTGCGTGTCCGCGTACTCGCACCCCGCTTCATCTGTCTCCAAAGCATTGTAACGCAATGTCACTGGCAATAGAATGGTACACCCTGTTCCTGTTACCTGTGTCGTGTAGCCACAGACACACACACATAGATCGTACGCTCGGACGCGGTTTGGTACGTGGTGCAGCAACAGATTAACGTCTCAGAGACGTCTCTGCAGCATTTCTCTGTCACAGCGCTGCGGACTATGTGTTTTACGCGTTGCTCGGTCACAATTTCATGTCACAATTGTTCCCTTGTGTGCAGTATGACTGGACCAACATAAACATTTGTAATGAGCACAGCACAACACTGACATGAGCAGCTGCAAGGTTTGCAGGTGTACCACGTCCACCCCAAATATACATCATTTTGGCCATCTGCTACTGTCAGCGACATGTCCAGCAATCAACATTAATTTGTATGCATATTCATCATCATTCATGGGCATTGGTCTTTCTCTATGAACCAATACACATGGGTTCAATATTTCCTGGGTCTTCGCTGTTGATTCTCCAATCTGTGTTGGTGATTTCAACGTGTCTGTGTGGTCCTCTGAGATGACTGCTGCACAGTCCATCTCACACAAGGCACACATCTTTACATGAAACACACACAAAGATTAAACACCAGGCAAATCACACATGCAATGAAATAAACAAAACATCACACAAGGGACTCTTAATAACCACAGTGCACAACAAAATGGAGATACAATTCCTCGCACACACAACCCTCATCATAACTTTCATTTGAACATTGTCTTCCCCCACATGTTTAGTCTTGACTGTGGGCGCCAGCAGAGTCAGACTGATCATATGGCACCAACATGTCACAGATGTACCCTGGTGCGAGGCCGTGTTGAATCAGGCCTCCAACTCCATGAATCCAATTAAGTCCAATAGCTGGGAGCTAAGGTGAGCCCATAGTCTCACGTTACTACTCAGGAATAATATACTAATAGACATGTATACTCAATGAGTGGATGTCATGTTCTGGGCTGTTATTGCCTGATCATTTTACCAGTTATGTGCACATTGACATGTTTGTACATTTAGGAATACACACAAAAGGTGAACAAGAATGTTTACAAAGTGTCCCTCTAGCTTGCAGTACTTGAAGTTGCTTGTGAAGAGACTAAATGGCCCAATTCGGCTCCACAACACATGGTGCTCATGCTTGCTGTGATCAGCTGTAGAACTGGAATACAGACAGAGGTGTGAACATTGTGAGATTCATGCTCCACTAACAACCCTCCATAACAGGTACCCCAAAGTCATACGTTTCTTACAGTGCCATCAGGGGCTTCAGGCTTGCGGTCTCCTCATCTTCGCTGTCCATACGGAAACACCCACCTTGTTGCCTATGTCCTTCCCCATCAAACCATTGGTGGAAGGGTGGTAGGGGGAACACATACTGAGCTTCACCCCTAGTTGTCTGCATACTGCTGTAATCAACGGAATTCACAAGCAATGACACAATCCTGAACACGAACAGCCTTATTCTTCCCTAGGCCTACCTTATTGATGAATTCAGTGCCACGTCTGTGAGGATCCTCTGTGGGGCGCCAAAGCGATAGAAATTTGGCACTCAGTGCACTGCTTCACCTTTTGTTAGTAATAATAGCAATATAAGAAATCCTCATCAAGATTTTACATTATTGAGATCAAAGCCACTGAGTGCATTATATAGACAGTCAATAGGCCCAAACATACCCATGACTGAATGTCCCTCTCCATTTTAGGCCAGTAATAACGTGCAATGATGGCCCAGTGGGTTTTCTCCCAGCCATATATATTCTATGGAGGCCTGATTCAACACGGCCCCGCACCAGGGTACATCTGTGACATGTTGGTGCCATATGATCAGTCTGACTCTGCTGGCGCCCACAGTCAAGACTAAACATGTGGGGGAAGACAATGTTCAAATGAAAGTTATGATGAGGGTTGTGTGTGCGAGGAATTGTATCTCCATTTTGTTGTGCACTGTGGTTATTAAGAGTCCCTTGTGTGATGTTTTGTTTATTTCATTGCATGTGTGATTTGCCTGGTGTTTAATCTTTGTGTGTGTTTCATGTAAAGATGTGTGCCTTGTGTGAGATGGACTGTGCAGCAGTCATCTCAGAGGACCACACAGACACGTTGAAATCACCAACACAGATTGGAGAATCAACAGCGAAGACCCAGGAAATATTGAACCCATGTGTATTGGTTCATAGAGAAAGACCAATGCCCATGAATGATGATGAATATGCATACAAATTAATGTTGATTGCTGGACATGTCGCTGACAGTAGCAGATGGCCAAAATGATGTATATTTGGGGTGGACGTGGTACACCTGCAAACCTTGCAGCTGCTCATGTCAGTGTTGTGCTGTGCTCATTACAAATGTTTATGTTGGTCCAGTCATACTGCACACAAGGGAACAATTGTGACATGAAATTGTGACCGAGCAACGCGTAAAACACATAGTCCGCAGCGCTGTGACAGAGAAATGCTGCAGAGACGTCTCTGAGACGTTAATCTGTCGCTGCACCACGTACCAAACCGCGTCCGAGCGTACGATCTATGTGTGTGTGTCTGTGGCTACACGACACAGGTAACAGGAACAGGGTGTACCATTCTATTGCCAGTGACATTGCGTTACAATGCTTTGGAGACAGATGAAGCGGGGTGCGAGTACGCGGACACGCAGGTGGATCTAGCCCACTCTACAAATAAAACATGTGTTTGGCCGTCTGCTGTCATCTTTCAGTGACACCCTCTTGCTGCTGTCATGCTTTACACACACACACATGTTCGTCCTGTCACAGTTGCATGCTCATTATTAGTCACATTATTGCTCACTCATACAACCCGAACGTCCTTTTCCTGGTCTGTGATAGCGATCACATACAGCATTAATTCCACATGTGATTTCTTTTTCTACATCAATATTTCTTATGACTGTAGTATATGAGAACAATGTGTGAGAGCAGGCGCTGGTCATGTGTTTGTAAATCGCTGTTGTGAGCGTGTTTATTGAATGGAAACACCACAGTCCCACCGCAGCTCCAGGTTAAACTGCGCACCTTGCAGCTGTTCAGGTCAGTGTCATGGGAAACAGTTCGCGATTCACAGACAGTATATGGAACAGCAACAACACATCTGATTTACGTTGATTATATGTGATAGCAATCCTTCGTCAGAAACACTACGAGAAAGAAGTCTTTATTTCGGACTTTAGAGGTCCCGCAGAGGCAGTGGGCTTTTATTGTGAAAAATGTCTAAGCCACGCCTACTTTCGAGCATTTTGATCGATGAGTAAGTAGAACTCGTTCACCGGTACTTCTCCCGGGGTTTAACTCCCTCAACTTCTCGCTGTACGTGTGGTGGTGGCTTACAGAAACACGGAGGCCGTCTTGCTGAAGAGTGGTTTGCTTTATTTGCTTGGCTGCACTAGCATACAGGGCCATTTAACTCTCTACCTGCACCGGTCGCCGTTCCCTCCGGTCATACTCTCACACTCCTCAAACTCCAACACACCCGTCCGCTTTGCGGGTCTCATTCGTGGGCGGGGCCTCGGACACGCGCACTCACTCACGTTCACACACACTGAGCTGTCCTAACCTAAATCACATATAAAAGACACATCGCACAACACTACCCCCACCATGGACTGGCAATTAACACTAATTCCATTCCATACAAAACTTAGTACACAATCTCTATATCTGTAGGCCTAAAAACGTGAAGAGATAGCTGTGTCCCAAATAGTATGTGAGTTCAAATGAGTAGGTAGGTTATACTAATTTGACAAGTGTCTAAAGTGATGCAGTTTTAAAGCTCGTTTAACAGTGAACACAGGAGTAAACATAGGAGTACATCACAATATAAGTTCTATTCTTTGGCGACCGGAGGTAATACTGTCTGACTAACCTTAATCATAACATACATTCAAATGCAATAAAGTGCAATGTAAAAGCATTGTCTCTTCAGCTTTTCCTTTTTTTTTTTTTTTTAAATGTAAAGAAAAATGTGCTTTTTGTAGCAAAAGTATTAAACAAGTACACTAGAGTCCAAAAATGTAAACTGCAAATTCTCTAGTGCAAATATGAACTGTCATACATGACTCACTCAGTAACCCAGTCCCCATACCGGACCGGTCCTCGGCGCTGACGTTGGGGCCGAGGTTCATGCGGAGACTGGTGGTGTGGCTCTCCCACCGCACCCCCACCATGGTCAAGTATCACATGGGAAGGAGTGGATGGAGGAGCCCCGATCATGGTCGATTCAGTAGCAGGTGGAGTGGACGGCCGGACGGCGCTGGGGCCGTCACTTGAGGCAGTAGAGTAGAGGCTGTGCAGGCCGAGGTCCTCCTGGTCTGCAGAGTGCCCGTCCACAGCTGGTGGAAGGATCTCAGAAGGTGTCCAGTTCTGGGATTGGTCCGGGACCCAGGTGTTGTCCAGGGGCTCACGGCTGCGGTAGCGTTTGAGTTGATCATGGTGGACAACTTTGACCTTAGCTCTGGGGCTCTTTTGGATCCGGTAGACTAGATCGTCCAAATGTCCCATAACAAAGTAAGGTCCTTCGTAGGCAGGGAGAAACTTTTTGACTTTGTTTTTGACATAACGTGTTCCTTTGATCAGATACCACACCGCGTCACCGACTTTGTACTGTGTGTGGCAAGCGTTTTTGTCGTATTGTCTTTTTGCACATGTGACTGACTTGCCGAGGGCTTCTCGGGTGATGTTGTGAGCCAGTTCCAGCCGCTCACGCATTTGTTGCACATACTCGGGGGCTGAAGGTGCATTGTCAGAGTTCGGGGGCAAACCAGCTACAAGGTCCACTGGCTCACTTATTTCACGGCCGAACATCATGAAGTTGGGGGTGAAACCAGTAGCGCTGTGCTTGGTCGCTCTGTAGGCCATAATTGCATATGGGATCATCAAGTCCCAATCCCAGTGACAGCGTTCCGCAGTGGAGGCCAGGATCTTTTGGAGTGTGGCGTTGAAACGTTCAACTTGGCCGTCGGACTGCGGTCTGAATGGTGTAGTGTGGGTTTTGTCGATGCCAAACAAACAGCACATTTCTTGGAATACCTCTGATTCAAAATTGCGTCCTTGGTCGCTGTGCAGAGAGTGAGGCATTCCAAAGCGGCACACCCATTCTGTTGCAACAACGTTTGCCACTGTCACAGCCTTTTCATCAGGAATCGGAAAAGCTTCAGTCCATTTTGTGAAATACTCCTGAATCACGAGTATGTAACTGTTCTTGCGTTCTGTCTCATTGAGTGGGCCCATGATATCCAGTGCAATGCGCTCCATGGGGGCTCCAACTCTGACAGTTCCCATGGGCGCTTGTGGAGTCTTGTGGGGTCTGGCTCTGCATGCACAGTTTGTACAAGTCCGACACCAGAGGGCCACATCTTCTCTCATGTGGTACCAGTAGTATCTGGTTTGAAGTCTGGCCACAGTTCTTTCAATACCAAAATGTCCACCTACTGGCCCCTCATGCATTTGGCGCATAACGTCGGGTTGCATTTTACGTGGGAGAACAATTTGAGGATAGAACTGTGTGTCGTCTAAACAATAAAAGCGACGGACCAGTACTCCATCTCTGAAATACAGTCTTTTCCATTGACTCCAGTACGTTTTGGTGGCTGGGCTGCATGGGGAGACTGCGGTCCAAGGGGGGCGCTCACTGCTGGCCTCTAACCAAGCTCTGATTTGTGCAATGTCCGTATCAGCAGCTTGAGCCTGGCGCAACTCCTCCATAGTCCAACCAGGGAACAGTACGGTTTCGTTCGTGTTTGTCACATAGATAGTCTCTGTTTGTTTTAAATTGTCTGTGTTGGTAACATTGACAGCGCTTACCCCCACCGGACTCAGCAACAGGGAGCTAGTGTCAGAGTCCAAATCACACTGAATTGCTTGGTGACTCGTGGTTCTCAGCTGCAAGGAAGGGTCCTGCAGATTACAAGGACAGGATTGGCGGCAGGGCCTGCGGGAGAGACTGTCAGCATTAGTGTGTAAGTGACCTGGGCGATGAAGGATTTCGAACTCGTACTCCGCTAGCTTTTCAAGCCACCGGGCTAATTGACCCTCTGGCTCTTTCATTCGTGTGAGCCAGCGCAGGCTGCTGTGATCAGTGCGAACCTTGAAAGGCCGCCCAAGTAGATACTGTCGAAAATTAGATGTGAAATCGACAATGGCCAGCAGCTCTCGTCTCGTAGTGCAATAGTTCTGTTCAGCTTTGGCTAGTTTGCGGCTGCCGTATGCCAACACACGTTCTGTGCCACCCTGCATTTGTGACAGGACAGCGCCGATACCTGTGTCGCTGGCATCGGTGTCCAGGATCATCTCACCATGGTCCAGTGGATAGCCTAAGACAGGGGCCGTGGTGAGGCGGTGCTTAAGCGTGTCAAAGGCGGCTTGGTGTTCAGCGTGCCACTGGAAGTGTGCATTTTTCTTCGTCAGGTTGTGTAACGGTTCGGCGATGGAAGCAAAGTCTTTCACAAACCTGCGATAGTAGGAGGCGAGGCCAATGAAACGTCTGACCTCTTGGACTGATGTGGGAGTGGGCCAAGCTTGAACTTTGTTGACTTTATTGGGGTCAGTAGCCACACCGCGCTCGGACACAATGTGACCTAGATAGGTAACTTGGCGGCGGAACAGGCAGCATTTGGCTGGTTTTAGTTTGAGGTTTGCCTGTTTAAGTCTCTGGAACACTCGGCTCAGCCGCTGCAGCATCTCGGGCACGTCCTTGGCCAGCACGATGATGTCGTCCAGGTAGACGAGGCAGATCTCCCACTGCATGCCGGCGAGGACGCGGTCCATAAGGCGTTGGAACGTCGCCGGCGCGTTGCATAAACCAAACGGCATAACGTTCCACTCAAACAGTCCGTTACGGGTGCAAAAGGCGGCTGCACGGCGGGCTCTTGGCGTTAGCTCGACTTGCCAATAACCTGAAGCGAGATCCAGGGTGCTGAACCATTTGGCAGTGGAGAGAGTGTCCAGTGTGTCTTGGATGCGGGGTAGCGGGTATGCGTCGGTGATGGTGCGGCTGTTGAGTGCCCGGTAGTCTATACAAAGGCGGTAAGTCCCATCCTTTTTACGCACCATTACGATCGGTGAGGCCCAACTGCTGTGGCTGCAGCTGGCGATGCCGCTCTGGAGGCCCTCACAGATCTGCTGGTCTGCGCTTTGCTGCTTCTCCCCAGCCATACGACGAGGATGCTGCTTTACTGGAGGTCCAGGCCGGGTTATGACGTCGTGCTGCACGAGACTGGTCCGGCCCAGATCACCAGGTCCCCTGGAAAAGACACTTTCATAGGCACACAACAGGTTAGACAATTCAAGTTTTTCATTATCATTAAAGTCAGTGGAGCTCTGGGCATAGAGCTCCATAGAGCTCCTAGAGGTTCCCTGGGACTGCAGGGGAGCTGGTTGGAAAGTCTGCCGCTGTGGGGACACTGGACGAGGACAGAGCTTCAGCTGGTTGGAGGAGGCCTGCAATGGCACCTTCTTTAATGGTGACAGCTTTGTTGCCCGGGTTGAAGAGACGTAATGGGACGATGTTGGCGGGCTGTGCGTTGACTAGGGCTCTGGCAATGAGTACTTTGTGCTTTTCAACAAAGCCTTTTGTGGGGCTAAGCATCATGTCCCCCTGAGCTTCTGTGCTAAAATGCACCTTGCCCTTGACTAGGTACTCTTGTCCCGGTTCAACCACTACAGTTCTGGATACTCTCACAGCGTGTGACTTTGGAACAGTCTCTGGGTGAAAGTAGGGCACTTCTTCTCCAAACAGAACTATGCGGTGCTTACCGAAATCAAGGCGGGCCTCAGCTTGAGTGAGGAAAGGGTGGCCAAGCAGTACTTCATTGCCCTCTATGTCCGCTACAAGGAAGTCCACTTCAACTTGACGGTTGTTAATGCTGACAGGTACTTTGGCCTCACCAAAAACTGGCACGTCTCCTGGTCCCACCCCGAGCAGAGTCTCTACAATGGATGGGCGAAGCGGAGGTCTCATGTCTCGGTGAATGGCGTTGTATTGATGAAGGGGCAGCACGCTCCTCCGCGCTCCACTGTCCAGGACTGCACACAACTCCAGCTCAAATATGCGCATGTGAATGTTCATTTCACGATTCTGGCCCTTAAGGTGGAGCACAGTGGTCTGCGGCCTTTCTTTGGCGGTGCCCGGAGTGAAAGTCTTTGTATTTCTTTTAGGGGACGAGCACTGGCTCTGTTTGTGACCCCAACCATTACAGTTATGGCAGCGGATGTCACCCTTCCTAAAGTTCTGGTGCTGCTTCTGTGTTTTTCCAAATGTGTGTGGGACTAAGCGATCGGGTGATGGGCTAGCTGCAGGTGTAGTTACAGTCTCATTGTTTTCGCTTTCTCTGACAACAGCGGCCCGGGGCCTGCGTTCAGTGAGGTTGCGGGCTCCCGGCTGCATGATGCTGGTGACATAGGAAGCAGCTCTCTTGGTGGTGTCATGACGGTGGGCTATCTCATAAGCTTTGGCTAGTGTAGCTGGACGTTTTTCTAACAGTCTTTGGACTAGCTCCGCCTCGCCCAGGCCGTTTGTGAAAACTTCTACAGCTATAGCGTCTTGCTCCTTCTCTGACCAATCACCATAAGCTACAGCTACTTTCCCATAAATGTCATCCCTGAACACATGAAGCGCCTCACCAGCTTTACGCACTCTTTGTCTCAGCTCCACTGCTACAGCCGCTGCATGATCTGAAGAAGGGCCGTAAGCAGTTTCGAGTTCCTCCAGCAGGCGGCGGTAGTCCCACCTGGAGGAACGATGGTTCCTGTGGACGATGGCACCTGCAGCTCCGGTGAGGCAGAATTTCAGCTGAATTGCCATTGTCTTGGCTGACCAGTGATTTGCCTCTGCGCAGCTCTCGAACCTGTGCAGAAACTCTCTCCAGGGTGTACTGCCGTCGTACTGGCCGGGACGTAGAGTGGGGACTCTCTCTTTGGGGTTGTAGTCCTCATCACTGTCCGACGCAGCGCGGGGCATAGAGCGGCTCTTACGTGTTGGAGATGAGAGACCGGGCACTGGGAAATGTCCATGTTTAACAGTCACGTCTGGATTAATCAAGTCATAGGGCATGGGAAGCGTACTGGCTGCAGGTTTGGATGTAGCTGGTGTGCTATGTACAAAACTTCCCATGTGAGCAGTGGCAAAGGGGTTTGTGACTTCATAATGCCCCTTTAATGGCATGACAGGAGCGGGATACGGAACAATTTTAATATCTGGCCTTTCCACGGAGCCGTGGCTTTGACTGTTGGCCCCGAAAAAGGGATTTGTGGGCGCATAACGAGCGGGGCTGTCGAACGGCGCGAACAGATCTTCTCCATTAGCAAGTGTGTTAGCGCAGCTTTCATCACACAGAAATGGGTTATAATGATCGCATTTTCTCTCAGCCTTGCGTTCATACGTTTCCACAGCACCTTGCCAGTTGTCCTCCACATTGGTGAACGACATGAACGGGTTTGAGTAGTTGGTTTCTTGTCCGTAAACATCGGAGGGATAGCGAGCGGCCGCCATGTTGTATTAGCTTAGCTCCTCCGCTATTACAGTTGTATTACAGTCACTCGGCTTTGCGTTTTATTCTCCTTTTATTTTCGATGCTCACCAGTCTTTTAACAACGTGAAGGTCCCTTCGTGGTCGCCAGTGTTAAACCTTTCCTGTTTCTCGTCCCCTAACCGTGGTTGGGAGACACAGGGGAGATCCGTCGTCTCCAGGGCCGGTACTTCTCCCGGGGTTTAACTCCCTCAACTTCTCGCTGTACGTGTGGTGGTGGCTTACAGAAACACGGAGGCCGTCTTGCTGAAGAGTGGTTTGCTTTATTTGCTTGGCTGCACTAGCATACAGGGCCATTTAACTCTCTACCTGCACCGGTCGCCGTTCCCTCCGGTCATACTCTCACACTCCTCAAACTCCAACACACCCGTCCGCTTTGCGGGTCTCATTCGTGGGCGGGGCCTCGGACACGCGCACTCACTCACGTTCACACACACTGAGCTGTCCTAACCTAAATCACATATAAAAGACACATCGCACAACACTTGTATTGTTTGTAAAAAATAATGAAGACGTTTATTTAAAAAAATATACGGTTGGTATTTGCGACCGTGGATCTATTAAAATAACACTTGCGACCGCTTAATAATATATACAGTACACTTGGGACGAGCTTGGGACCGGACCGGACACGTCCACAGAACACTCCACGGCGCCCCCTGTGGCCACTGCTGTACAAATCTGTTTGTTTAGATTTGATTCCAAAATAAATGAACTCCGTACAAGAGCAACATGACCCACGAGGTCACTGCGGACCGGACCAGGGCTGGACCGGACCAGGTCTGGACCATGGATCTATTATATTAACGGTCTGGACCCGGACTGGACCAGGACTGAGCCAGGTAACTCTGAGGAAGAGAAACAATATAAAAAATAAACTGCAGTCAGGAATAAAGTTTATTCTAATAGAAAACAGGAAGAAACATGTACAAATCTGTCAAGAAATGAAGACAAAGCAGCAGCGATTGCACCTGTACCATGGTTTATTGGGCAGTCCCTTTCAGCTCGAAGAAAAGGAGACAGAACTTTTTATGTGTATTGTATCAATGTGATCAGAACAGAGATGACATCACAATGATATAAATAACTAGATATTGTAGTGACATTGTGGTCAGAGCAAATGCGTTCAGTTCTTCAGATAATAATGTTTAGCAGTAATACAGATATGACAGGGTTGAGAGTACAAAATATGCAAGTCAGGAATCACACAACACAAACCAAAGACTGCGAATACTGGATGTCAGGAGGGTCCAGGTGTGGTCCAGGAGAGTCCATGGGGGTCCAGTGAGCGGCTGGTGCGGACAGGAAACTACAAAAGACTGTGGTAGTCCCAGTAACATCACAGATGATACCAGAAACATTACTTTATTAGTTGGAAGCACAGACTTCATAGAATCAGATGTTTCAAAGACAGAAAGGAAGGGGAATCTACTCTTCTACAACCACTCTTTAGCAAGTTTTCCAAACGTATCCCATCTAACCTGATTCATGACAGTTATCCAACATATGCATACAACATCCTGTTTCTTTGTTGACAAACACACCAACTCACTGATGCCAAGAAATCCGGCGCTCTGATTGGTTGAAACTGTGGCGATGTACATGCTACTTTACAAGATAAAAAGTTCAAATTTCAGTTGGAAATTACAACAAAGATTCTTTATGTGGAAACTTCTGATTATGTTCATATTGTTATTGTTAAGCGTTCAGAAAACCTTGAATAACACTATTTCCCATGATGATGGAACGGAAGTTAAGGATATTCAATCTAGCACACAGCTTAACCGCTACGAACTCTGAAGCTGTGTTCAATTCCTTGCATGAATGGACGTCACCATTGAGTTTAGATTGAAACATAGAAGCCCAAAGAAGCCCATTCTTACTCTTAGGCAAGAAGATGCCATACATTAGCATTGAATAATTCTTATTCCGGGTCCCCCGCCATTGGTCCGGTGTGGTATTACCAAGCCCCGGCGATCCAAGATGGTGCCGTATTCAAATGAATGGTTTGTGCTCGGTGGCGCTTTGTGCCGGCATGGGGGCTGAAAGATTAGCAGAACTCCGCCTGGAACCCGCAAATATCTATGGGAAACTCGCCTGTATTTGAGCATCGTCTGGTCCTCCCGGTTCTGCGCAGTGGATAAACTCCCATGATGCTTTGTTCCAAATTCGCGTGTATGTTTGTCATGCACGCGCACAGAGGGGCGCGGCCGCGCTTTGACCAATCAGAGGTGCTCATCAGAGCGGGAGTTAGAGTGGGAGCCAGACGGGCAGAGTTTGTGGCAGTAAAGTGTGGATTTAAAGAAAACCGAAGGATTTAAGAAGAAAAAAAGTTCAGGATGACAAGGGACACTAAAATCCCCACAAAATCTGATTTTTATGAAACCTGTAGGTTCTCTGTCAGCTGAGGTTGCGCTGTTTTAGTTTACATTGAGTTCTATAGGGAAAATTTCTGGGTAGCCCGCGTGAATTTAGTCTGGTTTAGTCTGCAGAACCGCGAAAATCCCCCAAGCACATGGGTTCTTCAGCTCCAAGCTACTAATACCCTATCCAGTGTAATATTCTGTGATAGAATATGCTGTGAGACATTACTGCATCATTCAACATTGTATCACGTTCTGTTTGATCCTTACGTCACATGTATCTTACGTGCTGCGTGACCTGTGATAGAGCGCAACCTGCCGTTACATTTGGTCATTGTCATTCTGCTCAACTGCCAGTAAACAGCACTACGAAACCCGGACTGTCGTACTTACTTTTTGTACATACGGTACATCTATTTTAAACATAGAAACATAACATGGTGTCAGAGTAAAAGGAACGAAGATGGATATGTCTGGAGTGCCTTCACCCCACATGGACTGGGACGCAAGAAACTTGCCCGAAGCTTGGCGTAAGTTCAAGTTACATGTTGAATTGATGCTGTCGGGACCGTTAAAGAAAAGAGGGGAAGACGAGAAATGCAGCTACCTTCTTCTTTGGGTCGGAGAAAAAGGTCGAGATATTTATAACACATGGACAATGTCCGAAGACGAAAGAAAGACATTGAAAGCATACTATGACCGCTTTGAAGCATATGTTTTTCCCAAAACAAACGTTATTTTTTCACGTTTCAAGTTTAACGAGAAAGTACAAGGAGCGCACGAGCCATTTGAACAGTTTGTAACGGATTTACGGCTGCTTGTAAAGGACTGTCAATACGCGAACTGTGAGGAAATGGTTAGAGACCGCGTCGTATTCGGGATCCTCTCACCAAGAGTACGAGAAAAACTGCTTAGCATGGGGTCTGATTTAACACTGGACAAGGCGATAGACATTGCTCGTTCCCATGAAGTTGCGCAGGAACAGTTAAAAACCATATCAGGCCGTCATGAACAGTCAGTACATGCCGTTAGCAGACCGTCTCACAACAATGTAGCGTCATGGAAACCACGGCAACACAGTGACGCTGGCAGCGCGGCGAGATTCACCACAACAGAAAGAAACAAAAAGTTCTACAACTCATGTAACTACTGTGGAAATAAATCACACTCAGCAAAAGAGATCTGTCCAGCAAAAGGGAAACAGTGCAAGTCGTGTAACAAATGGAACCATTTTTCAAAAGTTTGTCGTTCCAAACAAAGAAAAGCAGTGCACACAGTTGATGATAATGACCCAGAGACTGATTCGGATGATTTGTTTATTGATGCAGTGACACAGAAATATGACAAAGAACAGGTTTTTGCAGAAATCCTCGTGGGTCCAAACAAAAGTATGGTCAAATTCAAATTAGACACTGGTGCCTCAGTTAACGTTATTCCTTCAAGTATTGTCAAAAAACTAGGAATGCAGCACACTCTACAACAGTCGTCTCGCCCACTCTAAGGCTATGGAGGTGAGCGGTTAGCTGTGAAAGGCAAGTGTAAAGTTGAATGCCAGTACAAGGACACAAAGCTACCTCTGCGAATCCATGTTGTCGACACATTAGCACCACCAGTGCTAGGGCATTTAAGCATGCCTTGATTTCAAGCTTATTAAACTGATACTATCTGTTTCAGATACAACAGGCATGTCGATTATGGATGAGTTTTCAGATGTTTTCACAGGAATAGGACTGTTTCCTGGTGAGTGCACCATCCATATTGACCCCAATGCTGTCCCTGTGATACATCCACCAAGGCGTGTCCCCATTGCTCTGCGTAAACGCCTGAGAGATGAACTGTCAAACATGGAGAAACAAGAAATCATCACCAAAGTCACAGAACCGACTGAATGGGTTAAAGCTGCACTAACTGACTTTATTTTTGTATTAATTACTAAAATGCTGTTCGTGTAGGGCATTGGGATATACGTCCTTTTGAAGAAAAAGTAGTGCGGATTTGTGCTGGCGTGACATTATATTTTAGATCGAGTTTTGATGAAACAAGGAAGAGAATGTGTTTCGGGTCTCAGATTGTGACCTATCACAGCGAACCACTAGCCCCCACTTTCGTGAGAAATCTACAGGTCCGTTAGCACAGACAGCTGAGTTAGCACAACAAGCCGAGGAGCTAACCTGAAGCTTCCTCGTCTTCGTCACTGGTTACTGCTTACACAGCAAGACAGCCATCCAAAAGAAAGTCTCGTTCCTCCGCGCTTCCCGGTTGTATCGTTCTATGGTCACGCCATCCACGTGCAAATCCATATCCATGTATTATCCATATTGAGAGACACTAGCTACGTCCCAACAGTGGGTGTGTGTGGGGGGGCGATAGCTTCGTGGGTGCGGGGAGGGGAGCAGAAAGAGAGAGGCCAGCGAGTCCGCGGCTTCAAAATCCCAAAGTCAGTTAGTGCAGCTTTAACTCAATGGTTGCAACGGAAAAACCACGCACAGGTAAACTTAGGGTTTGCTTAGATCCAAAGGATCTCAACAAAGCGATAAAACGCCCGCATTACCCATTGCCAACACTTGAGGATATTGTAGCAAAGCTATCAGGAGCATGTT